CTGGCTGTGGCTACAGGGAGACCCTGTCTCAAAAAAACAAAAACAAAACAAAACAAAAAGAGATAGGATGGACTGAAGAGGTGGTTCAGTGGTTAAAAGCACTGGCTGTTCTTGCAGAGGACCAGGGTTTGATTCCCAGCACCCACATGGCAACTAACAACCATCTGTAACTCCAGTTCCAGGGGATCCAATGCCCTTTTCTGTGGGCATTGCACAACGTGGGTGCACTTACATACATGCAGGCAGTGTGCTCATAAAATAAAAATAATAATTTTTTTAAATGAGAGAGGGGCTTCAGCAGTAGCTAAGTTGGTAGACCTAGCATGCAGGAAGTCTTGGGTTCCATCTGGTTGTATGGCATGCCTGTAATATCAGAATTTTGGAAGCAAGGTCGTCCTTGGCTAGCAAGTTTGAGACCAACCTCAGAGGCAGGGGGAACAACTGAGCGGTATATGAGGCCAGTGAGCCCCTGCTGGGGATTCAGCCAGTGAGATGGGATGAGTGTGGCCGCCCCCTGCCTATGAGTCCCCTTCTGGGTAGCAGTAGGAGTGGGACCTCCTGTACAGTTAGCCACAAGGTGGGGGCAAGGACCGGAGACTTGGCTGCCCTTGGCCTCCCTAGCCCAGGAGATTGGCTCTCTTGGCCCTGCTCCAGCCCAGGCCTTGGGGACCAGATGGCAGACAGGCAGGCAGAATGACTCTTGTTGGTGGCTGCAGCACCCTTACCCCTCGGAGGAGCAGAAGAAACAGCTGGCGCAGGACACCGGGCTCACCATCCTTCAGGTGAACAATTGGTGAGTGGCCACGGGGCGGGGCGCTGTCCGCGGTGCTGAAACGTCATCCGCTGCCCCTTGGCCTCTGCAGCCTGTGTGCTGATCCCCTGCCTCTGTCTTCTCTCTGTGGCTCTCTGACTCCTTGACTCCCTCCTCACACCCCTTTCCTTTTCCCTGGCTGTTCCCAGGTTCATTAATGCCCGGAGACGCATTGTGCAGCCCATGATTGACCAGTCCAACCGCACAGGTACAAGGAGGGCAGGTACTTTTTAAGAGTCCCAGCTGGGACTAGATCTGCTGGCCTGAGCCTTTACCCCAACACTTTTAAAGGTTTCCTGGGGCTCACCTTGAACCCCTGATCCCTTCTTGGGAGTGTCTTTGGGGTCTACTTGCACTCCCAGCTCTTCTCTCTAGGCTCCTGGTCCTCTGCCTGCACCTCAATCCACTTGACGGTATTCTGGGACTCAGTCTTAACTCCACCCCCTCCACAAGGCCTCTGAATCTCCACCTGCACCGTAACTCCTTTGAAGAGCTCTTCTGTCTCAGCTCATACCCCAACCCCTTTCCTAGGCCAGGGTGCATCTTTCAACCCTGAGGGCCAGGCCATGGCAGGCTACACAGAGACTCAGCCTCAAGTGACAGTCAGGACACCAGGTATGTTCTCACTCCGTAGCTAAGCCACTTCCTACAGTAGGTTCCCCTAACCAAAAACTCACACTTTCTGAGACTCAATTCATGAACGATTCGGTGGCTCGTCTGCATGTGAGGGAGCCGAGGGTGAAAGTGCCATTGTCTTGGTCCACTTTTTTGTAAATGGCCAGAACCTTCTTTCTAAACAAATATTTTATTTATTATTTTTATTTTATATGTATGACTGTATTGCCTGCATGTATATAAGTGCACCCATGTCATGCAATGCCTGTGGACATCAGAAGAGGGTGTCTGATCCCTTGAAACTGGGTTATGGATGGTTGTTAGCCACCATGTGGGTGCTGGGAATTGAACCCAGGTCCTCTGAAAGAGCAGCCAGTGTCCTTAGCTGCTGAGCCACCTCTCCAGCCCCTCAGAACCTTCTTAAAATATGATTCAGTTGATGTTGATGAAGGGCTCTGGGTGAATGAGGACTTAGGGCATTGGTGGGTGGGAAGAACCACTAACCCTCTCTTGTTTTCTATGATCAATAGGGATGAGTCTGAACTTAGAAGGAGAGTGGCATTACCTATAGAAGCCAGGATCAGGAGGAGGGTGAGTGTCTAAAGCCTAGGGATGAGCAGCTCTCAAGGCCTCAAAAAACTTCAACTTCAGCCGGGCTTGGTGGCACACGCCTTTAATCCCAGCACTTGGGAGGCAGAGGCAGGCAGATCTCTGTGAGCTCAAGCCAGCCTGATCTACATAGTGAGTTCCAGGACAGGTGGGGCTACAGAGAGACCCTGTGTCAAAAAGACAAAAAACAAAAACAAAAAACAAAAAAAAAAACCCTTCAGCTTCAAAAACTTGGGTCCCAAGTAGACCCAAGAGCAGTCCTGAGAGAACTTTCCAAGATTGATGGGAAGATGCTTCTTCTACCACCCACCCATCTATCCACCCATTATCCACCCACCCATCCATCTACCTATCCATCCATCCACCCACCCATCCATCTACCTATCCACCCATCTACCAATCCATCCATCCATCTTCCACTCATCACTCTATCTACCCATATATACATACATCCACTCATTCATCCATCTACCATCCATCATCTGTCCTTCCACTATCCACCCCATCCTTCCTTCCACCAAGCCATCTACCCATCTATCTATCCACCTATTCACCCATTCACTTGTCCACCCACTGATCTTTCTACCATCTATCTATCCATCCATCCACCCATCAATTTATTTCATTTTTACTATCCACCCACCTATCCAACTATTTATTCATCCACCCACTCATGCCTCTGTCATCCATTCATTTGTCTTCCACCATCCATACATCCACCTGTCCATCATTCTTCTATTCACCCACCCCTCTCTACCATCCACCTACTATCAATCCATTTATCCACCCCCCATTCATCTATAATCCATCAATCCATCCTTCCATCTATTATCCTTCCACCGTCCATCCATCCATCTTTCTACCCAACACTTATCCATCCTACTTATCCATCCATCCACCCATCTTTCCAGTTGTCCATCCATCCACCCATCTACCTATCTTTCTACTCACCCATCCATCCTTCCATCCATCCTTGTACCACACACCCATCCATCCACCCGCCCATTCTTCTATCCAATACTTACCCATCCTTCTACCTATCCACCCATCCATTCACCTACCCATCCAGCCATCCACCCATCCTTCTATCCATCCTTGTACCCACACACCCATCCATCCATTCATCCACCCATCCATCTATTCACCCATCCTTCTACCCATCCTTCCAGTTCTCCATCCATCCTTTCATTCTTCCACCTGTTCAGTCCACTTTCCCTGAACCACTTATGCCCAGTCCTTGGGACACATCAGTGGCCATAATGTTCCATCTTATTTCTTGCTAGCCTCTCAGTCCAGCAGGCAATAGACTCATCACATGGTGAGGCTGGGATGTGGAAGTCCAGGAAATATAGGGGCCCTGAGAAGTCACCAGACCTAGGCTGGAAAGTGGGAGTTCAGGAAAGACTTCCTGAAAGAGGTGGCTTTGGAGTTGAGACCAGGAGACTGGAGACAGTCTATCAGGAATAATAGCATGTGCAAAGGCCTGGAGCATGGAGAAAACTTATGGCATGAGACACTCACATCCCACACACACCCAAGAAGGAAAGAAGCTGGGTGTGGCACAAACCCATCATCCTACAAATAAGACCAGCTTGGCTAAATCATGAGACTTTGTCACAAAACACCAAGAGCTAGAGATGTAACTCAGCAGTAGAGTCCTTACTTAAAATCCCCGAGTGGGGGACTGGGGTGTGGCTCAGTGGTAGAGCCCCTGCCTAGAATCCTCCAGTGAGGGGCTGGGGTGTGGCTCAGTGGTAGAGCCCCTGCCTAGAATCCCCCAGTGAGGGACTGAGGGTGTGACACTCTACCACTGAGCTACATCCTTAACCCTTTTTAAAAAACTTTTTTATTTTGAGGCAGAGTCTCACTAAGTGGCCCAAGTGGGCACTGAACTTCCAGTCCTCCTGCCTCAGCCTCCTGAAGCGTCTGGCCTGACGGGTGTGGGCCAGCCAGCCTGGGTCTGTTTTCCTGCCTCTGTATTTGTTCTCATCCCATCCTCAGCGCCCTTCCATGACTTCTCTTTCCCGTTTTCCACCTTTCTCTGGCCTTATCTCTGTAAGTCCTTTCACGTGCCTCCTTCTGTGTCCCCAGATCTGTATCTCTCACAGTCTGATCCACTGTCCTGATGTCCTTCTACAGGGTCCTCTCTTTATCCACCCCCGACAGTGGGGTTGGTGGAGACTGTACACAGGGACCACTGTCACGCCTCTTGACTCAGTCTCCCATCCTTCCCACAGGCCTGCAGCCTCCATACTGTGACCACCAGCCTCACACCTAATTGGTCCCTGCTGGTCCCTGGGCTTCAGGACTCTGCCTCCAAAGCTTCCCACCCCCCACTCAACGCCTACCTCCCTGGGGCCCCTGGAGGCAGGGGAACCCAAGTGTCCACTTGAGGGTCTCTCAAGGGCAACGACAAGCCTCCAGGCCCTGCACCCCTCTTCTGTCATCCCCTTCACCCAGGATATGAGCTGACAACTGGGCCAAGGTCTGCAGAAGATGGTGGCTAGGGCCCCCAATCAGAACAGAGATGGGACTGGGGGTGGGAAAGGGTGGTCAAGGAAGGAGGGTCACCTGGATCCAAAGTTTGGGAGAAGCCGCTCCATCCTCCCACCCCAACATCCTCCCACCCCACTTCCCCTTTGTCTTCGACATTCTTCCACCTTTCTTTTTTTAATGATAAAAGTCTTAAAAACACAAATCAGTGTTCTCGTGTGTCTCCATGATTTCAAATTCTTGGTAATTTGCAGCTAAAGAATCACAAATATTAGCCATCATTGTTTGTCTTTCTGCTGCTCTCTGCTTAGGTATAGCATGTGTATCAGTCAGCTGCTGCTGTGTAACAAGCTGCCCCCAAATTCTGTGGCTCAAAGTGTATATGGTTGAGCTCATCATGCTTCTGGTTGGTATCTTATACTAAGCACAGCTGGCCTTTAAAAGTGGACATAGGAGCCAGTAGGTGGCTCAGGGGGTAAAGGTGCTGGCTGTGAAGCCTGAAAACCTGAGTTTGATCCGCAAAACCCAGAGGCTGTCCTCTGACCTCCACACATGCATACACACACACACACACACACACACACACACACACACACACTATACACAAGTAAGTAAATAAATAACTGTAATAAAGGTGGCTTTGAAAGGACTCTCTTGGGCTGGGAAGATGGTTCAGTCAGTAAAGTGCTTGCCATACAAGCATGAAGACCTGAATCTGGTCCCAGCACTCATGTAAAAAGTGAGGCCTGGTGACACATTCTTATATTCCCAGGCCTGAGGAGACAGAGATAGGATCCTCCAAGTTCCCAGGCCAGCCACCTTAGACTAATCAGCAAGCAACAGTTCCCGTGAGAAAATCTGGTCTGAAAAGTAAGATGTGGTAGCACACACTTTTAATCCCAGCACTCAGGAGGCAGAGGCAGGCAGATGTCTATGAAATCCAGTCCAGCCTGGGGTACATGGTAGGTTCCAGGTCAGCTGGGGCTACAGGGAGACTCCGTCTCAAAATAAATAATAATTAACAATAATAACAGTAACTCAGGGGGCAGAGGCAGGCAGATCTCTGTGAAATCAGGACCAGCCTGGTCTACGAAGTGAATCCCAGGCCAGCTGGGGCTATTAGGGAGACTCTGTCTCAAGAAAGAAAGAAAGAAAGAAAGAAAGAAAGAAAGAAAGAAAGAAAGAAAGGAAGGAAGGAAGGAAGGAAGGAAGGAAGGAAGGAAGGAAGGAAGGAAGGAAGGAAGGAAGAAAGCAAATACAAAGCTGATGACTTCTGAAACAATAGAAGTCAATCCAAGGTTGACTTTAGCGCCCTGCCCCCCGCGCGCACACACACACACACACACACAAGTGCACAAGCATATACACAATGAAAGGAAGACTAAATCCTACAATGAAAGCATAAAAGTCAGAGCCAGTGGGATGACTGAGCAGGTGAAGGCACTGACGTCCTGAATTTGATACCTAAGACTTGGTGGAAGGAGAGGGCCAACTGCCAGACACTGTCCCCTGACCTCTACATGCACACTGTGGCACACCTGGGTGCCTTCCTGCAAATGATTTCAAAAAGTTGGTTTTTTGTGGGGGGGTGGGGGTGGCGCACACCTTTAATACTAGCACTTGGGAGGCAGAGGCAAGTGGATCTCTGAGTTCAAGGCCAGCCTGATCTACATAGCGAGTTCCAGGTCAGCTAGGGCTACAGGGAGACCCTGTCTCAAAAAGACCAAAAAGAAGAAGAAAAAACAAAAGAAAAACTCCAAATAAACAAAAAGCTGAGTTTCTGTGAGGCAGGCCAGCTCCAGCATGCCTCTTCCCTCCCATGGCGGCTGTGGTGTTGACATGGCAGATGGGGATCCAGCATCAAGGCCCTAAAGCTTGTCCCAAGCACCATGAGGGTGCAGGAAGAGCTGGGTGCTCAGATCTGGATGCTGGCTTGTGGAAGGCGACCAGCTCACTCAGCTTCATGGAGTTCTGTTCAGAGGGCCTGTGGACACCAACCTGAAAATGGTGTAGTGAGTGCACAGAGCCAGTGAATGCTGCAAATACTGTGAGTCACTGCAGACGGCCTGCAAAGCCTAACACAGCAAAAGCTTTGTGTCCACAGCTGATATACTGCACTGTGTGGGAGGACAGAGGCTAAGGCTGGGGCGTGGCTCAGTAGTAAAGCACCTGCCTAGGATCCCCCAGTGAGGGGCTGGGGTGTGGCTCAGTGGTAGAGCCCCTGCCTAGAATGCCCCGGTGTGGCTCAGTGGTAGAGCCCCTGCCTAGAATCCCCCAGTGAGGGGCTGGGGTGTGGCTCAGTGGTAGAGCCCCTGCCTAGAATCCCCCAGTGAGGGGCTGGGGTGTGGCTCAGTGGTAGAGCCCCTGCCTAGAATCCCCCAGTGAGGGGCTGGGGTGTGGCTCAGTGGTAGAGCCCCTGCCTAGAATCCCCCAGTGAGGGGCTGGGGTGTGGCTCAGTGGTGGAACCCCTACCTAGAATCCCCAGTGAGGGGTTGGGGGTGTGACTCAGGAATAGACCATTCACCCAGTGTTGAGTCCTGGTTTAGATACAATTATTTTTCAATGTTTCCCACCTATAGCTGGTGGAGATCACAGCCCACTGTCCACCATCTAGTCTCTGCGGTGACAGGCAGGGACTACATAATAGACTGGGTACACACAGGAGTGTGAACTACCACTTTGTGACTTCATCAGCACTTTATTATGTGCCTGCTCTGAGGCTGTCCAGGACCCATGAAATTTTTTAACCATCCATAAGGGGGCTACCATTACTGTTCCCATTCTCCAGGCAAGGAAACTGAAGCCCAGAGAGATGGGATTGTCCATCAGAGGCCATGCGAATGGGGAGTGTGGATCCCTATTCCAGTTCAGGCTAATGTGCAAACTACTTAGGTTTCAGCCTCTGTATAAGTACTTTTCTGTTGCTGTTATAAAAACATTGACCAAAGCCGGGGGTGGTGGTGCACACCTTTAATCCCAGCACTTGGGAGGCAGAGGTAGGCAGATCTTTGTGAGTTCGAGGCCAGCCTGGTCTACATAGTGAGTTCCAGGACAACTGGAGCTACAGAGAGACCCTGTCTAAAAAAAAAAACACTGACCAAAACCAACTTGGGGAGGAAAAGGGTTTATTTCATTTACATCTCCAGGGTCATAGTTCATCACTGAGGAAGTCAAGGCAGGACCTCAAGGCAAGAACCTGGAGGCAGGAGCTGGAGCACAGACTATGGAGGAATGCTGCCTACCGGCTTGCTCCCCTGGCCTGTGCTCAGCCTACTTTCTTATACAGCACAGGCCCACCTGCCTGTTTCACCATCCACAGTGGGCTGGGCCCTCCCACATCACTCAATAATCAAGAAGATTCTCCACCCACATGGCCACCAGCCAATCCAATGGAGGAAATGCCTCAGTTGACTTTCCCTCTTCCCAGCTGTGTCAAGTTGACAAGTGAAGCTATCCAGCACAGCCCCTCATTTAAGAAACAGATTCCCCAGCTGGGGATATGGCTCAGTGGATAAAGCACTCACCATGCACACATGAGGACTTGAATTCGGATCCCGGAACCCATGTAAAGCCAGACACTGTACCGTGTGTCTGTGATCCCAGGGCTCCTAAGTGAGATGGGAGGTGGGGACAGAGTCCATGGAAGTGCTAAGAACAGCTTGCCTGAGCACGCAGCCTGAACAGGCAACCCTGTGTTAAACAAGGTAGAATGTGAGGACCGACACCTAAGGGTGTCCTCTAACCTCCACAAGCATACTGTGGCACATACATCAGTATGCACGTGCACACATGTTGGGCCTTCGGGACCCTCATACACACGGCATGGAGGAAAATGAGGCCTAATATAATTTCACAAGCCAGGCTAAAGTTTAGCGACCTGTCTCTGGCCTGTCACTTCTGTGTGGAGGTGACTCAGCAGAGCCCTATCTAAGATTGCTTCTGCCCAGTAATAACTGGCGTGGTAAATTCCCAGTGGCCCACAGTCTTCGCCCTAGATGACACATTCCTATACCCACCCCCTTTTCCACACCCCCTTTGCTTAAACTATATAAGTTGATGCCTGACGCAATAAAGTGAGTTCCTGCCTCGACAAGACTCCTGACTCGGTGTGGTTCTTGAGTCACTGACACTCACCATCCCGCTCAGCCCCCAAGAGAGGAACCCAGGCTGGTCCTGGCCTCTCCCCCTGTGCCGTACCTGTCAGAGCGTCTCACACACACACACACACACACACACACACACACACACACGATTAAAATAAAGGCTGCCAGGTGTTGTGGGACAGGCCTTTAATCCCAGCACTCGTGAGGCAGAGGCAAGTGGATCTCTGTGAGTTCAGAGCTAGCCTGGTCTACATAGTGAGTTCCAAGCCAGATGGAGCTGCAGGTAGTCACTGTCTCAAAAAAGACCAAATGAATGAATGAATGAATGAATGAATGAATGAATGAATGAATGAAAAGATGACTCAGCAGATAAAGGCACTTGCCACCAAAGTGACGACGGGAGTTTGATCCCCGGAATCCACACAGTGGAAAGAGAGAACCAACATCTGACCGCCACACAAATCTTGTGGAACATGCACACACACAATAAAATGTAAAAATAAATTTTAAGAAATAAAAATAATATTAAAATAGATCCAGGATTCTTTTTTATGTGTATGTGTATTGCCTGCATGTATATGTGTGCACCCATGTCATGCAATGCCGTGGACATCAGAAGAGAGCTTCAGATTCCCCTGGAACTGGAGCTAAGGACGTTTCATAGCCGCCATGTGGGTGCTGGGAATCGAACCCGGGTTCTCTGCAAGAACAATCAGTGCTCTTAACTGCTGAGCCATCTCTCCAAACCCATTTATTTTTATTTTTATTTTACGTGTATAAGTGCATTGCCTGTATGTGTATAAGTGCACCGTGTCATGCAATGCCATGGAGGCCAGAAGAGGATGTCAGATCCCCCGGAACTGCAGTTATGGATGGTGTTAGCTGCCCCCCTGTTCCCAGAATTCTTTTTTAAAAATATTTTATTTATTATTTTTTATTGTATGTAAGTACACCCATGTCATACGATGCCCATGGAAGTCAGAAGAGGGCATCAGATCCCCTGGAACTGGAGTTATAGATGGTTGTTAGCTACCATGTGGGTGCTGGGAATTGAACCCAGGTCCTCTGCAAGAGCACTCAGTGCTCTTATCCACTGAGCCATCTCT